TTCCCCCACCATTTCTTTAAAGATGTTCAAAGTTGGGAGCTCAGAAAAATACCCTTTATAGCCACCTATGCCTCTGCAGAGTGGGTCCAAAGACTGGCCCATTCAGGAGGTCTGAGAGGAGAGAGGGGGTGGTTTCAGATGCACGGCTACCTTCCTTGCTGGAGCTGGTGGCCTGCAGGCAGGGGAGGTCGTGTCTCTGTGATTTCTATCTTATAGTTTATATTCTCTATTTAATGAGACATAATTATCTTGGCTTCCTCCAGTTCTTTGTCAATGGGTTTCTTTAGCTCTGCAACAATATTTAAGAAACTTAATTTATGTCTTTATCTAATTCCATTGCCTGGGCTTCTTTATGGACCACTTTTAGTGTTTTTTTTTTGTTGTTGTTGTTGTTATTAATTGGCCACACTATTTAGTTTCTTTGCATGCTTTCTAATTTTTTGTTGAAAACTCGACATTTTGAATGTTATAAAGTGGTGTGTTACTGACTTTTCTCTCATTGCTGAGGCAAAATACCTCACATCCAAAGTGTAAGGGGAAAGCATTTATTTAGCTCACAGTTTGTAGAGGTTTCAATTTCTGGGTGAAGGAGTTTCTGTAGAGGAGTTTCTGGCTCCAAGGCAAGGTGGCACATGGCTGAGGGGCATCACAGAACAGAAACAGTTCATGGCACCCACTCAGTAGCAAAAGCATCAAGGAAACCTTAACAGCATCTTTCTGCCCCTCATATCTATACTACGAGGATTAGGGTGGTGCCAAACCAATCAGTGGACTGGTTTAGTAATCACAAGCCTTTAATCCCAGCATCGCACACTCCAGATTTAGCCACTTCTAAAAAAGCTATCTATGCTGCATGAGGCTTTGGGCAGACATCTAGATGCAAACCGTAACAAGTGGCAACTCGGGAAATCAGATTCTCCTTTGATGTTTGTTGTTGCTGCCTATTGTGGATTGTTCTTTGCATGTGTAGCAGTTTTTCTTATGTATATTTTTAAACACCTTACTCCTTGTCATGTGTGGTCTCTGAATTCTCTGTTCTTTAAAGATGAGGTCAGTTAGTGATTTCACAGAGATTTTGTGGATGCCTGGGTTAAAAAAAATGAAAAAGAAGAAAGATAATGTCAGGCCTGGCCTAAACAAATGGGACAAAACAAATAAGTTGCTTTCAGCACACACCAGCAGATTCTCAGTAAATAGGACAAGTGCACTAAAAATAGTTTGCCAATAAGTTTAGTGACTGTCTGCACACCTGAGCAGACCATCCTTGGGCATCCAGATCATAAATATTCCTTATGATTAGAGCCCTTTTCCCAAAATCTGTATAAATATAGTTTTCCTTCCCTAATAGCTGCTAGAATCGCCTTGATTTTTTAGTTCCTGATTTTAGTCCTTGTTCATTGCAATAAACTTGTCTTCAAAATCCTGTTTAACTGAGTGGATTTATGCACCGCCTATACCAGTATAATCTCCCAGTCTTTTGTAGATTGGCTCCATGTCTGATTACTCCTTCAACTCTCAAACATATAAATTATTATTGTGCCTTTGCATTCAATTCCTGCTGTACAGGACCTAAAGTTCAGCTAAAGGTGAAAGCGTAGACCTCCCATGGTTTTCTGAGTCTGCACTCTATCCTGGGTATGTGCATGTCTTCTCACTTCTGTGAGATATACATGGTAGCACTTATAAACTCTTATTACCCTACCTATCTCCTTTGTTAACCTCCTTTACCGAATTCTTTGTTCTGTTCATTGACAAGTGATGATCTTTGCCCAGGGTTGCTGTGGTCATTACCTGTACCTCTAAATACTTCTGTTAAAATCAAGTAGGAATGTCCCACTCAGACAAAACACAGGGAAGCCTTCACGTTGTTCTTTGAGGGAGTCAGCAGATGATTGAGGCTCACAACAGTTCTTTGAGAATAAGATCCACATTTCTTCGTCTGGCATTAGAAACTGGCACCAGGACTATTGGTGTGCCATCCTCATAAGCCCTACTGATATGGGATTTGTAGGATAATAGGCAGTTAATTTGAAATGTCATAGCAGTCACTTGTTACAAAGTAATAGTCCTTTTACCAAGTCTTCCATTTGGCTGTTTTTTTGTTTTGTTTTCTTCTTTTTTTTTTTTTACTAGATTCCAGCATATGGCAACAGTTGATTCAGACAGTTTTACTAGTTCATTCACTGCTCTTAGGTGGAGATAGAACTTCAGAATTCCCTTCTCTTCCATTTTTGTAACAGTAGTATGCATGTTGAGGTTAAAAATAAATGTTCTACAAATTAATTCTACTCAAAAGGCAGAAATTTTTCAAAGAGAATTGGAAGAAAAAACAAAAAGCTAGAATGACCATTTTCTATAGAAGAGCTATCCATTTAAGCCTATATGAATTATACTACATATTACCACATCTAAAATAGTTTTATGTAAATCATCCATATGTCAAACATCTACATATCTCACACTTGACTAGCAAGATATAATACAAAACATCTAATATAAATCCAGTGGTTCTTAAACATGGCTGAAATTAGAATCACTTGGTGAATTTTTATTTTTATTTATATATTTTTGTGGTACTAGGGAACAAACTCAGGACCTTGCACTTGCAAGTCAGATGTGGTGCCAGAGCCCACTT